TTTTGGCAACTTTACCGAAGAAGTCATTTAAAGTTTAAAATTTGAAAAAAAAAATTATGTATTACAAAAAACCTTCTTCAGACATTTTAATGGAATAAATTCAATTGAAGTTCAACTAAAAACATCGAACTGCTGTTGCAAATGCCAATTTTTTTTTATTGCCCTTGTAGGCAGACGAGCATACGGCCCACCTGATGGTGAGTGGTTACCGTCGCCCATGGACTTCAGCAATGCCAGGGGCAGAGCCAAGCCGCCGCCTACCAAAATGCACCTTTGATTATAAAGATAAATGTCGCGTATTAAGCGAGATGACGCTTACACCAAATAGTCTTTCACTGTTCGATATATTATACATAAAATATGTATATTTGATCCGTATTCTGTCCAAGTTTATTTTTGGGTTATCTAATTTTACGAAAACAGTATTATAACGCTTGTATCACTTAGCTTTCGTATTAATTACATCAAAAGATTTTATTAGTTGGGAATAAGTTCATGTTGTTGGTTATTGTTTAAATCTCACAACATTGAGATCCATCGATTCCGAATGACAATGCGTGGCAACCCTACTGTACGTTCTCACGGACTGGACACAGCCGGTCGACGTTGGTCGGCATCATACGCTCAATTACACCGCTTTGCTTCGTCGAGATTCCAAAGTATCCACATATTTACTCGATTACGCTCCGATATGATGCCACCTTTTCCGACCTATGCTCTCCTGGTACCTCTAACAAAATTAATCGAACAGGTTAACCGAATCTTATTAAGTAACAGCTGTGCAAGGCTGATGGGAATATAGTTTAATCTGCCGCGAAATTAATGCAGCAGCTGTGCACTAAATAATACGGCTTCATTACACGTCGTAACGGAAATCAAAAGAAATACGACGACAGCATGTGATAAACAAACAAAACTAGGCTATGTACATTTCACATTTTTGTGCGTTTTTATTTATAGGGTGCATTCCACCAGTACTTTTAATTAGATTAATTAAACAGAATTTGAAATATAGACGAATTTCACCATGCGGAGTTGCTCACCCACCACATAAAAATAAAATAAATAATAGTTTAAAAAACTAACAAAATACAATTTTATAGAAAATCCAACTAAAAAATTGAAACAAAATTTTAATACATTTTAATTAAAAATAGTGTAAGAAAAAATGATGTTATTGTAAAAAAGCGTGAGGTACTTTTCAGGATATTATCAAAATAACCCTTCTACTGTTCATAAAATATGTATAACTACTGATACTATGCACCCCAGATTCTGTTACATACTAACATACATACGTCTGAAGCTAATAAAAGCGTATTAATATATACGTAGTGTATTCTATAAATCTTTTATCTATCTATTACCACAGAATCTAAGAATAAGAAGGCAATGGAAACGCAGCATTTGGAACAAGTTTAACTCTCCCGAGGGGCGAGACAACATCTGAAATCACTGCGAATAGCCGAATTACCACGTTTATATCCTCGGACGTATCCCGAGCGGAGAATGTTCGAAATGCGAAATCATTGCAGCGAATATGTGCGACAATGTACGTAATTTCAAAAAGCTATATTCGAAAAAGAAAAAAAAAAGCCTGTTCCCTAACAAGAAATCTACACTTGTAACGAGAATTCGTGTAAAGTACGACTCGAGAGGCAATTTGCGAAAGAGGAAACAATAAAAAAGGCAATTCGCAAAATTCGAATACATTAAATACAATTATAAGTGACAATTATGTTTGAGCACCATTAAAATAAGGTCGGTATAAGTGCAGACTCATGAAAATTCGCTTCGAAGTGATAATGGCGATGGCGAAAAAAAAAAAGTAAAACTGTTTGTGCATATCGTTTATAAATTCTGTGGTATTACGTTCTTCAATTGCTGGCCTCAGAGGTAGACAGAGGGACGCTACTAATTCATTATTAGATTCGTGACCTTGGACCGTTATTATAACAGTAATTATTAAAATTTGTATTTCCAACTTAGTATTGGAAGAAGCTCTTACGGCTGACTTGATGTTGAGCGGTTACTTGGGCCTATAGGCATCATAACCAGAATCCCACAGCCCACATTGAGACATAAATATTAAGTTTCAATTACTTTCGTACAAGTGCCCTGCCCTAACATTCAAATTAGAGCAAGTTGGCTTCGTTTTAGTAGAAAATGTGAACTTAGCACTCCTAAAAACGATGAACAAAACTACGAAGCATTTATGAATCGCTATGAAAACAGTTTTTGGTTTGTTTAAATTAGTATGGTTACGGAACTGATTCCATTAAGCCCTTTACTTCTCGAGTATACTCCAGCAGTTATTTTGTCAATATCACAACACAGTTTAGGCATGGGTTTATATATCATATTTTTGAAGGGATGTTACATTAAATCAGTCATTTCTATTATAGAACCTATTATTTTTCTTCGATAGAATTCAAAAAGGACGAAAAGAGACTTCAGGTCGAAAACAGTCCTGTAGCCCTTTGATTATTTCTAATAAAATATTGGCTACATTACTCGTGATCAAATGATTCTATCAAATTTCAATAAAGCGATAAGGGGTCATCTTAACAGAATGTGATTGGAAATAAGAACCAACCACTAAGTTACATTTCTCGACATGGTATATGTTCTAATATGAATCTACAGTGGTTTTTACGGATGTTCCGTTATAACTACTAAACCATGCATCCGATTGACTTGAAACTTCGTATCCATGTAGAAAATACATGTACTTAATGGATAGGCTAATATTTATATCCCTAATAATAATTAAATAGTAATGTTAATTTTAAATGCGCAGCGAAGCGGGCGAGTACGGCTAGTTTTTGAATATACCTACATGTAATTTTTTTTTTGTATTTACAACGACTGCTCGAATCAAAGTGAAAATTGATATGAAAACATTGATACGAATTGAAAAAGACATATAATAGAATAAACAAACATGGAGTTTGAAGCTATCATTGTTAAGGATTCGTGTCTAATAATTATTAAAGAAACACGCCTTGTCTAATATCATAACAATTAGGATATACTTCTTCATCCCTTAGAACGTGAATTATAGACAGATTTATCGCAAGTTATAAATCACAAACTCTAACCGAGTTTTCAGCAAAATTGAGTAATATCGAACGGTCAATAATATACCCTCTCGATTTACTCCAAACGAGACCCATCGGGCCTCCGGCGAGCCTAATGGTAACGTTACCCTCACCGTGAACAAGCCGATTCTATAAATTGCTCCATAGGAAATGTGGTTGAAACAAAGAAAGCTCACGTGCTATTATACCAATTTGTTTCGTGCTCAAGTTGAAATGTGGGCGGTTTATTAAGGTTTTGCTTATTTTCCAGACACGTTTAATGAGTTAGGTAACTGATAGAACATTGTAACTTTTTTATGAAATATTATTATTATTATTATTATTGGAGTTTAAATTTGCGCTGTGTGATTAAATGAGTTTGGTATTAACGTAACTATATATATTATGAGAACGATTATTTTGGATTTTTATATTAACATTGCGCGTTAAATAAATTTAAGAAGTTTGAAGCATCCTTTACCTAATGGGTAAGACGCCCGGTGTACGTAGTCATACGCACAATTTTTCAAAGCGGTGGTATTCTTTGCTTTATATATTTTACAATAGCTCCTCCACAATTGAGACTTCGATCTTATGATTCAAGGAATAACGGAGATATTCGCATTCCGATGTCTGTTCATTAACAATTTCATCACGCGTCGCATCAAACAAGCACAAGAAACGTGAGAAACAAACACCTAGTCGCAGCAAATCATGGCGGTTCATATAATCACTGAAATTGTATCGATAATACCCTTCGGACCCTCACCATTGTCCATCTTGCCGGTTATGCTATTTTAAAAGCAATTACATGATTACTTGTTACTTTTTCACTTAGAGCCCATTCGCACGAACGGTTTTTAAAACATTCGATGCGCGTTATTTTTTACTTGATGAGCCATTACTTCTAGAGCGCTTTTTTACGTTGCTATTTTTTTTAATTGTTTTTCGCCGCACTTCGAAATAAATCAATCGTCAAATTAGTCTTCGCCTGTGCGATGTCTATCTCAGACTCAAGGTATATTTGCTGAGTATAGCAATTAATATTCAAATCTGATCTTATGTATAAAAATTTTGCTTTAATGGAAAAAAAATCAAGATCTCTATAACGGAATCTTACCTTATCATATCGATCATCCACAAATACATTATAGTTTCTAAATTAATTCATTATAAGGGCTTGATTTTTACTTGTAAAAAATCAAGAGTTAGGCTATGACCACTTGTGAACACTCGCGCGAACAACGCCTTCGAGAATTTAGTCCATTCCTTCATTATCAATATAAACATTCTCGTTCAGTTAATTTATTATGGGATGTGGTCAAACATGGGAATGCAAGTGTTATGTATTTTTCGATTTCTAAATACTTTCTCACGGCGCTTCCGTTGCATTTTGAGACTATTTTTATTTTTAGTTAATCATTCCATTAGTTGCACGTAAAGACAATATTATTTTTATTTTGAGATCAAAGACAGCAAAAGTGGGGAAAAGGAAAAAGTAAAAGAAGCATTAAAGAGTCTACTTTAGGGTTATTTTTTAATCAACAGAAGTAATTATCGAAGCAACAACCAAGGTGTTCGTGTCCAGCACCAAGCAAAGGTCTTTAACACATAAAAATTCAATTAAACTCGGTAATATTTGAGGTCAACGTACGTAAGAGTTATTAGTTACACAAGGATAGTCGCGTATGGCCGTTGATGTGAGGCAAATCATAAATAAGCTTTAGAATTGTTTAAAAAAAAAAAGAAACTAGTTACATTGAACCCCACTGATCGCTAACTCTGAAGGAACCAAGCGTCTCTGAGCAAGATAACGCGTATTGAAGTTAATACACGGACGGTGTTACGCTATTATTACGCGAATATCAGCAGGTCGTTTGTTTTCTCTTAAAAAACAAAAGTCCAATATCAAAATCTCACCAATTCGCAATGAAGTTTACATGTCGCGTACCTGAAACAATATTTTAAACCAATTAATATCCGAAACATTCGCATTTGAAGTTGACGATAGTGCAATTCTTAATATCTACAATGAAGAAGGACAGCGTTTGTACTTTCAAATTTGGCTTTTAAAGTTCATCACAAAACGTTAACTCAATAGCTCAAATAAAATATAGTTTCTTAAGACGACCGACTTGTACGATTAGCCAATGACTTCTTTATGTAATTAGCATGGCTCTTGCAAAAAAATCTTCACGCAAAATCGGCTCTCGACCATCGATACGAAACAATGGAACCGTACTCAACCGAGATAACAGAAATAGATAAACTATTTACGAAACTGTCCCGATATCGATTCAAATTACAATCGTAATCGGCGGAGTAAATAAGCATACTGTTTTACAAACAAAGGCTTGTGTAAGCTCATTTAATAACTCGGAAGGATTGTAAACTCGATAAAGATTACATCGCTTCGTTTATTCTTCTTACTATTTTTTTTTATTGCCTTTGTAGGCAGACGAGCATACGGCCCACCTGACGGTGAGTGGTTACCGTCGCCCATGGACTTCAGCAATGCCAGGGGCAGAGCCAAGCCGCTGCCTACCGCTAAGAATCTTCAAGTATCGATGAAAAGGCGTTTCGATTCTACTCCGGTGCTCGTTTTGATGTTCAGATGATAGGTCTATTTCGGTTAACCGGTACTTAAGCGAGGTCAGCGCACGACAAACACCGTAGACGGTCGTTCAAAGTTTATGGTGTTCTATCAAGGTACCGTTGAACCAAATCTGGCTTTACTGCTGTTGTGTATACAGATACATTTCCGTTACAATTACATCATCGCGCTTATTTTCCTGCGTTATAAAATGCACACTGTATAACAGTATTCACGGCTGCCTTAAAAGCTTGTTACGTACGCCCCCCGAGTGTCTAAGAATAAACGCGCACTATTTTAAATTCCCAAAACGGAATGTTCACATTTCAATCATCGTTACAGGGAGCGTCAATTAATAAGCAGTCGTCATTTTGGGCCGGGGCGTTCTTCTAAAAGGCTACATCGACCGAGCCCTTTGATGTCGTGCTCGAAATGATATAGTGTGAGCCGAGCGTTCTTTATCTCGGTCACCGATTGCCTGATTTATCGTCGAAATTTAATTCAAAACACGTTTTAGTACAATGAGATCTTCATCCTCATCTTTATATTACGAAATACGGTAAATTTAGATTCTTATAAAACTTAACACCATAACTAACGTGAAATTAAACAATTTTACGGTTTAATTTCGCATTTTTCATTTTAATTATATTACATGTTTCGAATACTTGACTTACTTCGTAGTCGCAAATGATACAGAAAAAGAGAAAAAAAAAAATTGTGATTAGATGAAAACGTAAAAGCGGTTCTAAGACGGGCGAAAACCGCAGAAAATTAATTATTATACTAGTGGTCGCGCAGTAGCCGAAATTCGACTATAATTAATTGAAATTAAAAGTTTGAACATTGTTATGGTTCTATTGTCAAAGACTATTATATTTCTATAGTCACAGATTTCGCCAAGAAAGACAAACAATATTAACTTATTCTCAATTTGACTACAGATTTTAAGCAATAACAAAAGTTTGACAATAAACAAAGAGTATGTGTGTGTCAAATACATGGTAGGGTGTGTAATGTTTTCTCTATTGATTTAATGTATTTTTATGCATAATCTCTATATTCTCTATAAGTGTGGGAAATTTCATACTCCTCCGTCCGCGCAATTTTCGTAAAAAGGGATACAAAGTTTTTGCTTCACGTATTAATATATAGATTAACTTTTTTTTTAAACGTGAAATATACCACTTCATTATACGTATTCATTTGTAGGTGCTCTTCGTCGCTGTAATTTAATTTTGAAGGTAGAAACGCCGCGTCAATGCTTTCAACTGAGGCACAAGGGTCACGCGCTGCTAATTATCTCGGCAAACACAACTTTCGACCAAACTACTTCAAACAATACTAAGAAATTCCTTAGAACTGCCGTACCAGAAACCGTTCACACAACCATTGTATCGAAAATAATTATCTATAGGTACTCACTAATAAATAAAGCTGAAGAGTTTGTTTGTTTGAACGCGCTAATCTCAGGAACTACTGGTCCGATTTGAGAAATTCTTTCAGTGTTAGATAGCCCATTTATTGACAAAGGCTATGGGCTACAACGTCACGGTAAGACCAAGGCACAAGTGGAGCACCAATAAAGAATGTTTCTAAATATTTTCACTTTCTACGCAATTGAAGTGGGGGGTAAAATTTAGCGTTATGCCAAAGTAACTATTCCACGCGGACGGAGTCGCGGGCAAAAGCTAGTCTTAATATATATCTTTAATATAAAATTTATATTTCCCGTTTTATGGTTCGTAGTTTATTCGTTTACTGGTCGTTTAATACGATTGAGATGAAACTTTGTATAGTTGTCGTTTTTATTTCAGACTAGCGACCCGCCCTCGCTTCGCTTCGGAAACTGTAATTTATTATTGATTTCTCCACTATTTAATGGATGTTATTATGCATATAAACCTTCCTCTTCAATTACTCTATCTATTAAAAAAAAACCGCATCAAAATCCGTTGCGTAGTTTTAAAGATTTAAACATACATAGGGACAGACAGATATAGGGACAGAGAAAGCGACTTAGTTTTATACTATGTAGTGATTCCTGCACAAGAACGCAAGATAGATGAAGCGTAACTAAAGTATTTTATGTACTCACTCATAATCACATAAAAGCAGTCCAAATTCAAGCAGTGAAAGAGAAAACAAAACAAGATTATAAATACGATAAGAGACTATAAATAGTTTATGGGTAGCATCCTCGCCCGCATGGGTTACACTCATGCCATAGCATGGTAATCCGGTTTCATCCGAGTTTTATTACCGCCCTATGATACAACAAATTAACTAATAGCTACATCTGGGTCGTTAATTCGGCTAATTCACAATCTGATTCACACCAGCCATTTGATATCGCTAATATAATTCGTTCAATTTGACTGTTATTACATTCTGGTTCCACGGCAATTACTATCGTCGTCTCGACGGTATTGGTTCAAAGTCCGTCAAAGACAAAAGCTCTATGTTATTGTTGTAGTCATAGGGTTTTTTTTTATTTATTGCCTTTGTAGGCAGACGGGCATACGGCCCACCTGATAGTGAGTGGTTACCGTCGCCCATGGACTTCAGCAATGCCAGGGGCAGAGCCAAGCCGCTGCCTACCGCTTAATACTCTCCACAAGCCTCGTTTGAAGAAGGACATGTCATAGCGCTCGGGAAACACCGTGGAGGGGAGCTCATTCCATAGCCGGATGGTACGTGGCAAAAAAGACCTCTGGAAACGCACTGTGGATGACCGCAGTGGCTCCAGGTAGTATGGATGAACTCTACTCCGGTGGCGGGCGGTGCGATGGTAAAAACGGGATGCTGGTATCATCTCGAACAATTCCTCAGGGTACCTCGCTGGTAGATAGGGCCCTCACAATTTGTCTCCACTTCACCCTATCTTGCGCTTGCCCCTTCTCATTCCGTTTTTCACAGTGCGTCACCAATATTTACTGGTGGTAGGACGTCTTGTGAGTCCGCACGGGTAGGTACCACCACCCTGCCTATTTCTGCCGTAAATGCGTTTCGGTTTGAAGGGTGTGGCAGTAGTTATACTGTTAAAAGTGAGACCTTAAAAACTCATGTCTCAAGGTGGGTGGCGGCATTTACATTGTAGATGTCTATGGGCACCACTTAAAATCAAGCGGGCCGTGAGCTCGTCCACCCGTCCAAGCAATAAATAAATAAATAAAAATGTACAGGGCGACCAGGTCTTCTCCTAACACACGGTTGCCAGTCAAAAGCGATCGATGCTGCGTTGATTCCGCAGAGCCATAGTGTAGTATAGGTATTATTAATCTATACTAATATTACAAAGCTGAAGAGTTTGTTTATTTGAGCGCGTTAATCTCAGGAACTACTGGGCCGATTTGAAAAATTCTTTCGGTGTTAGATAGCCCATTTATCGAGGAAGGCTATATAACATTTACGCTAAGACCAATACAAGCGGAGCACCAATAAATAATGTTTTAAAACCGGAGTTTTTATCGCTTTTGAGGACTTCCACTGCGTGCGCTGCGGAAACGGTTAAGGTTTCGCTAAAGTAATGTATGAGAGAATTGTTTCCCTTTAAAAGATCTGAAAAACAGTCCGCCACGGCATATGTTTATATGTTAAGGTTAGCTCACTATAACGTTTTTATGCTCACCAAATTTGTTCTAAAATACAGCATTATTTGTGAACTATTCCACGCGGACGAAGTCGCGGGCAAAAGATAGTACAAAATATTCCTATTCATTTCAAAATCTACATAGCTGAACATTTGTTATCCTCAGTCTGTCCAATACACAAATAAACACGGTAATAAAGCCGTAACGTCCGCAGCGAGATAAATAAGTGTCCATCACATCGGATGTAGATGTCTGATGACCTCTATCTTATCGTGCCTAAACACCGCGATTACGAGGCGGTAATTGCTCTAAGTTCCGACAATCATCACCACGTTACAATCAACAAGTGTCTTAATGTTAGTAATCATGTGGGCTCTCGTGAGCGGCCCATCAGTGGCGGCGCTTCCGTTAATGCCACATAACATAAATACATGGTGTAAAAACACATGTAAACACACAATGCGGTCACGACTAAGATTACGGCTATACCATTTGTTTGTGAACAAGAAGGCCGCAGTGCTTGAAATTGTATTTGAACGTGACATCGTATTTCTGTCTCAGTAAGCAACCGCACTCTTGAACTGATGCGCCATCAACTTTTCCATTCTTTTTTTATTTTATTTTTTTATTGCTTAGATGGGTAGACGAGCTCACAGCTCACCTGGTGTTAAGTGGTTACTGGAGCCCATAAACATCTACAACGTAAAATGCGCCACCCACCTTGAGATATAAGTTCTAAGGTCTCAGTACAGTTACAACGGCTAC